AGGGATAAGACGTAGGTGTGGCCAAGGTCACCACTTTTCCAAGGTAATCTTGCACGCTGTTATTATCCTGCCAGCCTAACTCAGCCCGTTCTCACCGCTTCATGTTTTTTTTTTTTTTTGTGATGATTGTTGGTTTTCCCGGCTGTAGATTGTTGATTGTCATGGCGGGTGATGCTGGAGGCTGTCATGACAGGTGGTGTCAGTGGTGTATGACGGTAATACGCACTACGTATCTAACACGTACAAACGTGTAGTGTATCAAGATTTAGATGTTGCCACATCCTGGCTGCCGTACGAGGTGGTTGAGACCGTCTTAAGTATGACCAGGACAGATGTCCGGTTGGATCTGGCGTCGCTGGTACGACCACTCTGACCGGGACAGCTAAACTGGTTGGCGCTAATTGACCGGAAAGTTACGACACTCGCGTGGTTCACGCCGGAGGAGGAACGCTAGTTGTTTACAGAGCGTCTGCTTGCTGGTTAAGGTGGTAATGGTGTTTGATGGCGAGAGAACATGTAAATGTTCATGCATTTGCTTAATTTGCATTTTCAAATACGTGCACAGAAAGACATATTTGCATAGTGCTTGTTCATGCAAGCTCGTATACATGAGCGCACATAATCTCCCGTACATGTAGACGCATATGTAAGTGCACACAGTCACACTCACACATCCAGATTGATTATATTATAATTTAGAAGGGAGGTCACTCCAAGATTTTGTTCGATTATTAACGCCAGCTTGATCAGCAAACTGGCGTTTTCAGTTGAAAAAGGCTGAAACCCCACAAATAAAAGCAAAGAATAGAGATGTATGAGCAAAGAATGGAAAGGGGAACAGCTGTAACTTCATATTTCTCCATATTCCTCCCACCATTGTTCCCTCCCCCCCCCCTCCCATCCTGTAAGTCAGGCTTCAGCACTTGCTGGGACAAGATAATGAACTGATCTCCATGTTGGACCCTTTCATCTTGCCACCTCACACCGCCGCCCCTTTCTCTCACTCCTGTTCACCCTCTCCTTTAACGCGCACTTCTACCATATATATTTCTTTCCCCACACTCTTCCTTCAACCACTCCTCCCAACGACAATCGGCGTGTTCATCCTTACAGCACGTCACAACTACCACACTCACACACACACAAGAGCCAATGCTCGATCCTGCAGGTACAAATAGGTGAGCACACACACACACACACACACACACACACACGTCTGCGGCATATGCGAGGCTGGCTAACATCAGAACGGCGTTCAGGAACCTGTGTAAGGAATCATTCAGAATCTTGTACACCACATATGTAAGACCAATCCTGGAGTATGCGGCCCCAGCATGGAGCCCGTACCTTGTCAAGCACAAGACGAAGCTGGAAAAAGTCCAAAGGTATGCTACTAGACTAGTCCCAGAACTAAGAGGCATGAGTTATGAGGAAAGGCTGCGGGAAATGCACCTCACGACACTGGAAGACAGAAGAGTAAGGGGGGACATGATCACAACCTACAAAATCCTCAGGGGAATCGACCGGGTAAACAAGGACGAACTTTTCAACACTGGTGGGACGCGAACAAGGGGACACAGGTGGAAGCTGAGTACCCAAATGAGCCACAGAGACGTTAGAAAGAACTTTTTCAGTGTCAGAGTAGTTAGCAAATGGAATGCATTAGGAAGTGATGTGGTGGAGGCTGACTCCATTCACAGTTTCAAATGTAGATATGATAGAGCCCAATAGGCTCAGGAATCTGTACACCAGTTGATTGACGGTTGAGAGGCGGGACCAAAGAGCCAGAGCTCAACCCCCGCAAGCACAATTAGGTGAGTACAATTAGGTGAGTACACACACACACACACACACACACACACATACACATACACATACACATACACACACACCGAGAGCAAGGAGTCTGTCCCTTCTGGTAAGTCACTGACGGATCAGGACCAAGGTAAACAATGTTCCTGGTCTGAATGTGTGCCGATAAGCAAATTATGAAGGGATGATTTGCAAAATTAAATACTGGTTAAGCAAGTGGCTACTAGAGATAAATTCAAACAAGTGCAAAATAATAAAGTTGCTTTATTCCTTGGCACTTTGCAACTCCAACTCCCAGCGGAGGCCAGATAAAAAGCACCGTGCATATGTGAGAGGGAACCTTTCTGAACTCTAGCAGAACAAAAAAATGTCGAAGGAGGGTTGACAGTACATCAGACCCGCTACCAGAAGCCCACATGAACCGACCAGCATCAGGGGCATATGCTAAGTTGCCCAACATTAGAATTTCCTTATGGAACCAGAACCTTATAGACCACATAACAGACCAGTTCAGTAATATGCGGCCACTGTAAGAGAAAAATGGAGAGACATGATCACCACTTACAAAATTCTCAGGGAAATAGACTACACAGACAAGGATAGACAATTGATCAAGGATGGTACACAAGGAAGGCACAGATGTAAGTAAGTAAGTAATTATCAAAAGAAGGCACCAAACCGGGAAGGCTATGTAGCACCATCAAATACGCAAAATAATCAGAGGGCGCTAAATATCACCAAGGATGCCAATACGAGAACAAAAACGCATAAGGCGAACGATATCAAAAGTATCCGAGTCACCAAGAATTCTATCGAGGGACAGGTGACCGCGAGGGGCGGTCGGAAAGCAAGACACACGCTCGTCCTGGAAGTCAGGACATTCAAGAAGGACATGCACGACCGTAAGAGGGACAATGCAACTAGGACAATAAGGAGCAGGGCGGCGCTCCATCAAGTGACCATGGGTTAAGCGAGTATGGCCAATACGCAACCTCGCCAGAGCTGTTTCCCACCGCCGGTTACGGTGGAAGGAGGACGGCCACGAGGAAACACAACATTTAAGAGTACGTAGCTTGTTACCAGTAACAGACAACCAAGAAGCCTGCCAACGGGTAAGGACTGAGGAATGGATAACCGGGTAAAAGTCGGAATACGGAATGCCTTTGCGAGAGATGGGACAAGAGCGGACAGCTTCCTTGGCAGCAGCATCCGCACGCTCATTTAAAGACACACCAATATGGCTGGGAACCCAACAAAACTCAACCGACTTAAATTTACTGTGAACGAGAAACAGCCAATGCTGGATCTCGACAACTACTGGATGAACCGGATTAAAGGACCCGAGAGCCATGAGGGCACTACGAGAGTCAACATCAACCACAAAGGAAGACTGACAACGAGAAAGCAGGAGACGAAGAGCATAGAGAATAGCATAAAGTTCCGGGCACAGATGTAAACTGCTGCTCGAGTGCGTCACAGTCATTAGGGAAAACATTAAGTTTCAGAACAATGAAGAGATTGCCCGCGCTGGGAACAGAAGTGGTGAAGGCTGACTCCATACACAGCTTCGAATGTAGATACGAGAGCGCAATATTTATTATTCATTTCTTTATTATGCACCCCATACCCATCCCGTGGTGGAAAGGGTTACTGAGGTACACAATGGGTACAGGAACTGAACCCCAGAGTTCGTTTAGCAAAGCAAGTGACGATCTTGTGAAGCTAGTTACACAATTGTTAATATTACATACACATGTAATAAATATATATATATATATATATATATATATATATATATATATATATATATATATATATATATATATATATATATATATATATATATATATATATATATATATGTACATGTATGCAATAGACTCTGAAACCTGCACGATACAGTGCATCGTGGGTCAAGACCTATGATCCTGAGTTCATTCCCCGCAAGAACAACGGTTTAAATTGACCATGGCAGGTACTCACAACTATTCATGCCACAGTTCATAATGTCGAGGCGGTAAATAAACGTCTTATAAAACAATTGTCCTTAACCCGGTACACATTCTTTGTCTTTATCGCTAATGGTCAATATATTTATTTTCTTTGCAGCAAATTTGGTGTATTTTCTGTAATCGGCTTCATAACTTTGTAATGTTACTGGAGTTTGTTAAGCTACACTACGAGGTAAATGGTGTATTGTAGGCCCTGAGTCTCCTTACACACTAGGTGTGGTGTAGGAGAGACGCCTTACACACTAGGTGGGTGTAGGAGAGTCTCCTTACACACTAGGTGTGGTGTAGGAGAGACGCCTTACACACTAGGTGGGTGTAGGAGAGACGCCTTACACACTAGGTGTGGTGTAGGAGAGACGCCTTACACACTAGGTGTGGTGTAGGAGAGACGCCTTACACACTAGGTGTGGTGTAGGAGAGACGCCTTACACACTAGGTGGGTGTAGGAGAGACGCCTTACACACTAGGTGGGTGTAGGAGAGACGCCTTACACACTAGGTGTGGTGTAGGAGAGACGCCTTACACACTAGGTGGGTGTAGGAGAGACGCCTTACACACTAGGTGGGTGTAGGAGAGACGCCTTACACACTAGGTGGGTGTAGGAGAGACGCCTTACACACTAGGTGTGGTGTAGGAGAGACGCCTTACACACTAGGTGGGTGTAGGAGAGACGCCTTACACACTAGGTGGGTGTAGGAGAGACGCCTTACACACTAGGTGGGTGTAGGAGAGACGCCTTACACACTAGGTGGGTGTAGGAGAGACGCCTTACACACTAGGTGGGTGTAGGAGAGACGCCTTACACACTAGGTGGGTGTAGGAGAGACGCCTTACACACTAGGTGGGTGTAGGAGAGACGCCTTACACACTAGGTGGGTGTAGGAGAGACGCCTTACACACTAGGTGGGTGTAGGAGAGACGCCTTACACACTAGGTGGGTGTAGGAGAGACGCCTTGCACACTAGGTGGGTGTAGGAGAGACGCCTTACACACTAGGTGGGTGTAGGAGAGACGCCTTACACACTAGGTGGGTGTAGGAGAGACGCCTTACACACTAGGTGGGTGTAGGAGAGACGCCTTACACACTAGGTGGGTGTAGGAGAGACGCCTTACACACTAGGTGGGTGTAGGAGAGACGCCTTACACACTAGGTGGGGGTGTAGGAGAGACACTTACCTCATGTTGTACAGGTGCGCGTTCCTCTGCACCACTGGAGACCTCTCCTCGGGCTTATATGCAAAGGTACTCGCGCGCTCCTCCAGGGGGCGTTTCTCACCCTCTCGGGTCAGCCAATCACAATTTCTCCCGGGCCCTCAGGTCAACCAACCACAGACTCTCCCGGGCTCTAATGTCAGCCAATCACAGTCTCAGGCAGGCACCTTCATACAAAGGTGAGTAATATTGGCGTACAATTATTGAAAATGGCTTTTGTGTGGTAAATTGCTCTTCCAGCATGGTAACGACAGACACAGAGGAAGAGACCAACAGCTAGTCATACATCACACCGTCCTGTTAGCAATGGTCTTTGATTCCAGCCTGTATTTAGACGTGTGTTTCAAGAATAAACACACTTCGGATACGCTGATCTGATCACCGGTAAGACTTGGATAATCCCAGAAGAGGAAAGGTGGACAAACCGGGTCTATTCTTTCCCTTTAGTTATCAGGCTCCACCACTTTTTCTCTTATGCTCCTGGACGCTCGGAGTAAATGATTCTAGCGGAGCAGGCGATGAGTCACAATAACGTGGTTGAAGTATGTTGACCAGACCACACACTAGAAGGTGAAGGGACGACGATGTTTTGGTTCGTCCTGGACCATTCTCAAGTCGACTGAAACGTCGTCGTCCCTTCACCTTCTAGTGTGTGGTCTGGTCAAGTTTCTAGCGGAGTTTGTGCAGCGGAGGAGCAGCCAGAGTGTAACTTGCCAGTCATCCATCACCTTCGCTTGTTTAGTGAGTGAGAACATGAGGAGGCAAGAGTCCACGGGCTAGTACTCGCCTAGATGTACTCGCCTAGATGTACTCGCAAGGTCGAGCGTCAGTAAATGAATGATGAGTTAGCTTTAACCAATTATTATACTTTATTACCGTTTAAATCTGTCCTCCTCGTTCTTTTTCTCATTCAGATCTTAATATAATTTATTAATTATTCTTAGACCATTGTGGCACCCTCGCTCCTGCCTCCTCCAGAGGTAAGACAAGGTTCACTCAATCTTTCTCTGTAACTCAGGACCCTCAGTTTCACAGCTGGGGCTGCATACGTAAGATTGTGTCTCACCTAGGTTGTATATAGTAACACGACAAACGCTCCTGTTGAAACTCACAGTTCATGATTCGTTACTGTTGTGTAATTATAAACTTTTTTTTTTAAAGAAACTTATTGAGTCAATGGGTTCACCTCTATATTCGTCTTTTGTCTATGCATTTGTTAGTAATCTTGAGACAGTTTGGCTTGATATTGGTCTTCAAAGCTTAAATAAGACACCTCCAGTATCTTAATGACACTTTAAAGTTCAAATTTACAAAATGTATATTTATTGTAGAAATTTAATATGGTTTGATGTTTAGCTTTAAGACTAATTTAGCTTAACATGAAAATTTCATATCCATATTTTATTTCACGAAACATTTCCATGAAAATTGGGTTCTGTCTTTCCGAAAATCTGCCGCCGGCTTTCTCGCCCTCTACCAATGCGTCATATTTAGATAAGATGGAGTTAGGTAATGTTCAAAATATACAAAATGCGTATTATAAGTGTTGATTTGAGAGCACATTGTATCTAACAATGCATAATAATAAATTATTGAACAATTAATAGAATTTTCCATAAAAAGCACTATATATATATATATATATATATATATATATATATATATATATATATATATATATATATATATATATATATATATATATATATATATATATATATATATATATATATATATATATATATATATATATATCTTTGGTAGTGACCTTCTTTTGTGTCTCGAGGTCGAATATGTCGTCCAACAGAATTTCCAACTCTACTTTCCGGGCCATCTCACTCGGTCTGGACATAACATGACAGTTTATGCCCAGATTTAGGAGAGTGACTTGGTCCTCAGTGAGGTTAATTCCTGCAAGGTTCAGGAAGCCATCTCTTGGTCGTGGAATTGCCATAGGTCCTCCATATAATGTTGTTAGTTTCTTGATAATCCTTGTTTCAGTGCTGAGGTGATGTTGGTCTGTGAGGATGTCGAGGTGTTGTTCAATGCGGGTACGGATACTATGGTCGATGTTGCTATTTCTCCACTCGTTTGTAGCATGAAGTAGTTGCGTTCTGTTGTCTTTGATTTCATTCTCTGCCTTGTATATCTGATCACGAATCAGATCCTGGCGATATTTTATCGTGAAGGCTTGATTCCTTGCTGCTGGGTCGTGCACTTTAATATTAGTATATTTTGGTAGCAGTCTTTCCTGTAGACATATATTATTAAATATGACCGAAAAAGTAAGATTAATAATTCTAACACGAATTTTCTCAATCTTTCGTACATTACGCTTCACTGTTGGAGGTAAATCAAAAATTAATTCTCCAAAATTCATTTTTATTTCTAGTCTGACGCGACACGGGCGCGTTTCGTAAAACTTATTACATTTTCAAAGACTTTAGTTCACGTATCTCAGATTTTATATCTACATTTGAGTGAGGTGGGAGGGGTGATGTGGCATTAACACAAGGCAGAACAAGAGGGGATATTAATAGGGTATTAAAAGTATCAACACAAGACAGAACACAAACAATAGGTATTGAATAGAAGTGTTTGTAGAAAGCCTATTGGTCCATATTTCTTGATGCTTCTATATTGGAGCGGAGTCTTGAGGTGGGTAGAATATAGTTGTGCAATAATTGGCTGTTGATTGCTGGTGTTGACTTCTTGATGTGTAGTGCCTCGCAAACGTCAAGCCGCCTGCTATCGGATATATATATATATATATATATATATATATATATATATATATATATATATATATATATATATATATATATATATATATGTCGTACCTAGTAGCCAGAACGCACTTCTCAGCCTACTATGCAAGGCCCGATTTGCCTAATAAGCCAAGTTTTCATGAATTAATTGTTTTTCGACTACCTAACCTAACCTAACCTATAAAGATAGGTTAGGTTAGGTTAGGTAGGGTTGGTTAGGTTCGGTCATATATCTACGTTAATTTTAACTCCAATAAAAAAAAATGACCTCATACATAATGAAATGGGTAGCTTTATCATTTCATAAGCAAAAAAGTAGAGAAAATATATTAATTCAGGAAAACTTGGCTTATTAGGCAAATCGGGCCTTGCATAGTAGGCTGAGAAGTGCGTTCTGGCTACTAGGTACGACATATATATATATATATATATATATATATATATATATATATATATATATATATATATATATATAGTCGAGTCGGGGTCGGCCCCACGGCTCGTCTCACATGAAGTCAGTGGAGATGAAAGGTTGGGCACCTTGCCTGTGTTCAGCCTATACCCCAAACCCTTCCCCCTGCCAATTGTTTGTGAGGTTGGACCCTCCTGTGTGGCCTCCAACTTTGACCAAACAAACATTCTCTTATTATGTTTATATCACTGAATATATCAAGACTGCCTTAAAGGCCTTAAAGGAAAATCTTGGTTTTCCACTTCATAGTGTCAAGATTATTAACCACAAATATAATATTTTTCGTGAAATATGTAAAGAGTCAACGTTACAAAGAAAACAAAACCAGCACTGCAGCAAAACAAAGTTTGATGGATGCACATAGAGGAATGTGGTGTCGTCTGTGAAAATATTTACTAATCAAAGGAAAAACAAAGTCTGAGGCTTTTATACATTTAAGATATATTTAAAAAAGTCTTCCTTCAGCATCAACACGATTTACTTTAATATTACGTATCGTTTGGATTAAATTTTGGGTACATATATGTTGTCTCAGTGTTGGCAATAACTCGCCAATCATCTACTTAATGGAACGTGCACATTTACTTTAGTAGTTTGTAATCTGTATTTTGATAATTTTAATAAGTTATAATATTGATTCAGAAACTGTTCACTTAATCCTTTTTATAGACGTGTTGTACGGTGCTCTCAAGCTCTCACACTATTTACCCTAATGTTAAAACACGTTTACACACATCAAAGTTGCTATAATCAATAGATAATATTCATATACACATCACTTATGAATAAACTAACTTTATTATGGAAAAGCTCCTCTCCTACTGGATTGCTTGGGCTGTAGCGGCGGAGGGTTGGTACTTTTTTTTACGCCGAAATACCTGTTAACTACTGCCGGAGGCGCTGTCGTGGGTGGTGCTGTGGAAGTGATGGGCGGGGAGGAGAGGGATTGACGTTGGTTACTGCCATCTCTCTCGAAGTCTTCATCCATATCCACCCATTCCTCCTCTCGGAACACCGGGAAGCCGCGGTCTGGAGTTCCATAATTGCCAGAGAGAAAATCAGGATCAGTGTACCACGCTGGTACGTAGTCTTCGGAGTCGCTCTCTGCTACGGAGGCAGGTGTTGTGTGGGGCGCAGCGGAGAGCCCCGGCATGCTGCGCACCTGTTCCAGCAGCGCAGCTGTGCACGACGGCGGCAGCGTCAGTGCGGTGTCAGCGTCGTTCATCAGCTTGAGTGGTTGGGCGGATTTTACTGCGGTATCCTGAAGTTTGACCGAGCCGTTGATGGGCATCTGCTCGAGGGCGGCCATGAGCGCATCATAGAGGTTGAAGGACTGAACGATCTGCTCCTGAGCAAAGCCCTTCAGGTCCTTAGCAGCAGTGACTAGTTGATCTGCTGGCTCCTTTTGTCTTAAATCGCTCCAGTCGGTACTTACGAGTTCGCTAGACACCTCTTCCAGCCTCTGTTCCATGCTCTTCAGCCTCGACACCGTTATGTTGGCTTCCTCTGTCGCCTCAAGGATGACCTCCCGCACCTCGTCCAGATTGGTGTGAGTCTTTGCCGAGAACTCCTGGTCGCGCCGCACCGCACCCTCCATCACATCCACCTGCAAGAAACAACTATCACTTGAACCTGGAAGCAAACGTTGTTTTATTATGTTAAAGCGACTAGATGAAATAAGAACTTTGAGGAGCAAGTCGTCGCGTTGCAACACCTTGTACCGGAGAGAGCGGCGGCTGGCCAGCACAGACATAAGAGTGGCGGGGAGAGGAATACCTCAGTTCCAGCACCGCTCCTGTGCTATGTAAGTCCACTACGGGCTCACCATAGCCCGTGCTACTTGGAACTTTTTGTTCCCCAGTAGCTGAATCTTATACAACAGAGGAATATAATATACACACACACACACGGTGTGCAGCGTGTGTGTATAATTGTGTAACCTGCTCACCATTGTTTCGTGGTGTGTGCATAATTTGTGATTCTCATAACCATTTTTTGTCATAATTATTATGCAACCTGCAATATTGAATATGAATTACGTCCTTGAGTTTTCTAGCACCCAATTCAATCCTTTCCTCCTGTCGCCCCGTCCACCCCATCCCAGCCCCGTCCACCCCATCCCAGCCCCGTCCACCCCATCCCAGCCCCGTCCACCCCATCCCAGCCCCGTCCACCCCATCCCAGCCCCGTCCACTCCATCCCAGCCCCGTCCACCCCATCCCAGCCCCGTCCACCTCATCCCAGCCCCGTCCACCCCATCCCAGCCCCGTCCACCCCATCCCAGCCGCTCCCAACAATGGCCACAGTTAAGCTCCAGACGTTAGTCAAGACTGCCCACATATTTCTTCTTCCTTAATGTTTATTATTAAGGTTTATTATTCAGTTACTTCTCGCTCATTATTTTTTGTATATTCTCATCATTTAATATATTGTATTAGATAATTAAAGATTATTGTAATGACTTGTTATTTTCAATGTTAGACAGAGAGAGAGAGAGAGAGAGAGAGAGAGAGAGAGAGAGAGAGAGAGAGAGAGAGAGAGAGAGAGAGAGAGAGAGAGAGAGAGAATGGGGGTCACGAAGTACACGTGGCTCCCATTCCCTCACTAATATACTCACGTAATAAAATTAAAATCACAAAAAATACAGAATGTAATATAACCCTTAGTCTGGCCATAATGTCTTATGTATCACTGTAACCTGTACCTTACAGGCTGTGTGTGAGGTGCTTGAGTGGAGTGAGTATTGCTCCATCACAAGCAAGGCTGAACTAACAAGTAAAGAAAAACAACTGATGCATATATGTTAAACACTAACTAGCTTATCACTCCTCAAGCTCTCTTAGCTAATCGAACACTGGGAGCCAGCCCCTTAGCCCTTCTTGTGTGCTTCTGTAACCTTTCCACAACCACTCACAGGATGGGTATAAGGTCCACCAACCACTCACAGGATGGGTATGGGGGGTCCACCAACCACTCACAGGATGAGTATAAGGTCCATCAACCACCACTCAGAGGATGGTGGTGGAGGTCAACCAACACTCACAGGATGGGTATGGGGAGCATAATAACTTAACCAATCTAAACTCATAATTACACATCCACATTAGGCTTGCCTTACGGGGTTTCTTAAGTTTATTTCAGTGATTTGTTTTTACCTGACTTCTTTTAGAAACTTTCTGTTCAGAACCTGGGGACCGCCTCGTACTTAAAGTTTCAAGTCAATTCAACTTTAGTTTTAGCAACAAAAGTATGAATGCTAAAGTGACCAGCGTAACCTTCATAATATTTGGGTTCAGGTTACATGAAATATGTTGGCAAGCTTTGTCATATTGGCTTGTAACTGACAACAGTGTAATGCTGTAATGCTCACTGTAAGAGTGGTGGCGAAGGACGTGAGGGAGAGGAGAGGTGAGGGAGTTTGAATGTGAGGAAGAGGAGAGGTGAGGGAGTTTGAATGTGAGGAAGAGGAGAGGTGAGGGAGTTTGAATGTGAGGGAGAGGAGAGGTGAGGGAGTTTGAATGTGAGGGAGAGAGGGAGTTTGGATGTGAGGGAGTTTGAACGTGAGGAGAAGAGAGGGACAAACAACATTTAGTGCATAAGGCAACACAGCCCGTGAGGTCAACATCGTAGAAAACTGTGCTGTAGGAAACATGTTTCAATAGGGGTTGAAACAAAAACCAAAAGCCAGTCTTCCGGGTTGGCTTTTGGTGAAGGTGAGAGGGGGGGGCGGGGCGGGGTGAAGGTGACGAGGCTACGGGGAGGTGTGATGATGAAGGGGCCCACAAGTGATGGTGAGGCAGGTGGGTGGGAGACTACCTGGAAACATAATTACAGAAAACCTTACCGTTGGGGTGATGGTGAGTGGTGAGCCTCCACCTCCCAGTCTCTCCACCACCTCCCGCAGCTCCGACAGCTGCTGCCGGTTTAACTGGTGACTGTCGAGAGAGAAAGACAGAGGTTATGAAGGCCAGCTTTATCCATCCTCAGCACAACAGTAACCATCCCCCAGTAGCCAGGTGTAAACAAAGCTGTTGTGTGGTAACCGCAGCAAAGAAACGTCAGCGGCAGACACACAAAGAAAATCAGAGAGCCTTGAGCATATTATCAGAAATTACTTCCCGAGAAAAACGGTTTCAGATGCGCAGTTGCAGTCATATTTCCAGACGGTTTTCAACATCTCACCATGCGCGGCAAGTGCGTATAGCCCAGGCAGGGTGCGTACCCCAGGCAGGGTGCGTATAGCCCAGGCAGGGTGCGTTTAGCCCAGGCAGGGTGCGTATAGCCCAGGCAGGGTGCGTTTAGCCCAGGCAGGGTGCGTTTAGCCCAGGCAGGGTGCGTTTAGCCCAGGCAGGGTGCGTTTAGCCCAGGCAGGGTGCGTTTAGCCCAGGCAGGGTGCGTATAGCCCAGGTAGGGTGCGTATAGCCCAGGCAGGGTGAGTACCCCAGGCAGGGTGAGTACCCCAGGCAGGGTGAGTACCCCAGGCAGGGTGAGTACCCCAGGCAGGGTGCGTATCACAGGCAGGGTGCGTACCCCAGGCAGGGTGCGTACCCCAGGCAGGGTGAGTACCCCAGGCAGGGTGAGTACCCCAGGCAGGGTGCGTATCACAGGCAGGGTGCGTACCCCAGGCAGGGTGCGTACCCCAGGCAGGGTGAGTACCCCAGGCAGGGTGAGTACCCCAGGCAGGGTGAGTACCCCAGGCAGGGTGCGTACCCCAGGCAGGGTGCGTACCCCAGGCAGGGTGCGTACCCCAGGCAGGGTGAGTACCCCAGGCAGGGTGCGTACCACAGGCAGGGTGCGTACCACAGGCAGGGTGCGTATCCCAGGCAGGGTGAGTACCCCAGGCAGGGCCACGCCCGCCCCGGGAATGATCATGTCAACGCCACAACAGTTAAATTCATGATGTAGATCGCTTTCTTGAATTAAAAATATATATAAACAAACAATATTAGTGTTTGGGATAGTGCGTATTGTGTGATTTATCTCCTTATTAACAGTAATAATGAAATTAAAAAGGCATACATTTAATAAAGCGCGTCAACATGCCACATTTATAGCTAGGACTCATTGCATGTTGGTTTTACATAATGATGTGAATCATAGTATGTTGGGTACATAATGAAGTGAATTATAGCATGTTGGGTGTACATAATTTAGTGAATAATAGCATGTTGGGTGTACATAATTTAGTGAATAATAGCATGTTGGGTGTACATAATTTAGTGAATCATAGCATGTTGGATGTACATACTGATGATGTTAATCGTTGTATGTACACAGTCACGCGAGTCGAAATTGCAAGGGGGTTTCATGTGGACATCCTGTTTGTGAACATGTTAACTCTTTTTTTTTTCCCGGAAGGTGCTTGAGTGGGGGGGTGTCCGCTTCCTGCCCGGTGATGCGCCTGCCTTCTTCACCGGTGTTCCAGCAGCTTGTGGCTGATGGAGTGGCCTTGAACACCCTCGGTGCTGACCTTCCCAAGGTGGCCATGTTGACACGGCTCACGTCTGTGTACTACTACATCTGATAACTCATCCCTCGCAGCCTGACTCACGCCAGGTCACGCAGCCTGACTCACGCCAGGTCACGCAGCCTTACTCACGCCAGGTCACGCAGCCTGACTCACGCCAGGTCATGCAGCCTGACTCACGCCAGGTCATGCAGCCTGACTCACGCCAGGTCATGCAGCCTGACACACTCCAGGTTACACAGCCTGACTCACCCCAGGTCACGCAGCCTGACTCACCCCAGGTCACGCAGCCTGACACACCCCAGGTCACACAGCCTGACTCACCCCAGGTCACACAGCCTGACTCACCCCAGGTCACACAGCCTGACTCACCCCAGGTCACACAGCCTGACTCACTTCAGGTCACACAGCCTGACTCACTTCAGGTCACACAGCCTGACTCACCCCAGGTCACACAGCCTGACTCACCCCAGGTCACACAGCCTGACTCACCCCAGGTCACACAGCCTGACTCACCCCAGGTCACACAGCCTGACTCACCCCAGGTCACACAGCCTGACTCACCCCAGGTCACACAGCCTGACTCACTCCAGGTCACGCAGCCTGACTCACCCCAGGTCAATGTCAGTGACGAGTTTGTCGAGAATCTCTGTAATCTTGTGCTCGAGCGTCGGTTCTTCACTCTGGATGCGTTTGCAGGAGTCGATGAATGCGTTCTGGGCGACGAGGACGGCGGTGTAGGACGACTCCACCAGGCTGCCCAGGTCCTGCATCTCCGCCACCAGGATGTGACCTGCCGGAGAAGGAACGAGGTGATTGGGGGTCACGGTGTATGGAGACGCCGTGACCCTACTAGAAAGTAAACGAGCACTGTTTGGTAACATTCTCAACATAATCAGCCGTGAGAAATCTTATAGAAAGTGTTTTTCATTCATGAACAAGTACGGTGCCCAAATGGTTACTAGGAAAGGCTGGATTACTTTATTCACTCTCGTGTTGATGATGATATCCTCATAATGCACCCGGAGTCTGCCAGTGCAGACTACTGATCACATGCCTCTGTTTGACTAACCATCCTGTGTGATGGGGATTTTTAGCGCCACGTAGCTAGCTTTGTAACACACTGTACTCCCCTTTTATATAGTCTAGGGCAGCTGCACAAATGTATATGTACCTAAATGTGTTAATAATAAAAAAAGGATGCTCGTGGAGGAGTTATTTAAATGACCAGGATAGAAACATTGGTGACTACGCTATGTAAGCCGCGGAGCCCGTCCTCATCAACACCAGCCCGTCCTCATCAACACCAGCCCGTCCTCATCAACACCAGCCCGTCCTCATCAACACCAGCCCGTCCTCATCAACAACAGCCCGTCCTCATCAACAACAGCCCGTCCTCATCAACAACAGCCCGTCCTCATCAACACCAGCCCGTCCTCATCAACACCAGCCCGTCCTCATCAACACCAGCCCGTCCTCATCAACAACAGCCCGTCCTCATCAACACCAGCCCGTCCTCATCAACACCAGCCCGTCCTCATCAATAACAGCCCGTCCTCATCAACCACAGCCCGTCCTCATCAACACCAGCCCGTCCTCATCAACACCAGCCCGTCCTCATCAACACCAGCCCGTCCTCATCAACACCAGCCCGTCCTCATCAACACCAGCCCGTCCTCATCAACACCAGCCCGTCCTCATCAACACCAGCCCGTCCTCATCAATAACAGCCCGTCCTCATCAACAACAGCCCGTCCTCATCAACACCAGCCCGTCCTCATCAACACCAGCCCGTCCTCAGCAACAACAGCCCGTCCTCATCAACACCAGCCCGTCCTCATCAACACCAGCCCGTCCTCATCAATAACAGCCCGTCCTCATCAACAACAGCCCGTCCTCATCAACACCAGCCCGTCCTCATCAACACCAGCCCGTCCTCATCAACACCAGCCCGTCCTCATCAACACCAGCCCGTCCTCATCAACACCAGCCCGTCCTCATCAACACCAGCCCGTCCTCATCAACACCAGCCCGTCCTCATCAACACCAGCCCGTCCTCATCAACACCAGCCCGTCCTCATCAACACCAGCCCGTCCTCATCAACAACAGCCCGTCCTCATCAACAACAGCCCGTCCTCATCAACACCAGCCCGTCCTCATCAACACCAGCCCGTCCTCATCAACACCAGCCCGTCCTCATCAACACCAGCCCGTCCTCATCAACACCAGCCCGTCCTCATCAACAACAGCCCGTCCTCATCAACAACAGCCCGTCCTCATCAACACCAGCCCGTCCTCATCAACACCAGCCCGTCCTCATCAACAACAGCCCGTCCTCATCAACACCAGCCCGTCCTCATCAACAACAGCCCGTCCTCATCAACAACAGTCCGTCCTCATCAACACCAGCCCGTCCTCATCAACAACAGCCCGTCCTCATCAACAAAAGCCCGTCCTCATCAACACCAGCCCGTCCTCATCAACACCAGCCCGTCCTCATCAACAACAGCCCGTCCTCATCAACAACAGCCCGTCCTCATCAACACCAGCCCGTCCTCATCAACACCAGCCCGTCCTCATCAACAACAGCCCGTCCTCATCAACAACAGCCCGTCCTCATCAACAACAGCCCGTCCTCATCAACACCAGCCCGTCCTCATCAACACCAGCCCGTCCTCATCAACAACAGCCCGTCCTCATCAACAACAGCCCGTCCTCATCAACAACAGCCCGTCCTCATCAACAACAGCCCGTCCTCATCAACACCAGCCCGTCCTCATCAACACCAGCCCGTCCTCATCAACACCAGCCCGTCCTCATCAACACCAGCCCGTCCTCATCAACACCAGCCCGTCCTCATCAACAACAGCCCGTCCTCATCAACAACAGCCCGTCCTCATCAACACCAGCCCGTCCTCATCAACACCAGCCCGTCCTCATCAACACCAGCCCGTCCTCATCAACAACAGCCCGTCCTCATCAACAACAGCCTGTCCTCATCAACAACAGTCCGTCCTCATCAACAAAGGTCAAATGCTCATTAATCCAGCTGATAAACCTGCTGCCTTACACTCTTTATGAATGAAAAACGGTTTACACACGATGTTCGAACGTTTCTTGAACGGTGCTTCGCTGACGACCACTGTTCGAATCGCAACGCTGTAAATACTTCACCCACGTACTACAAATAGAAATAAACGCTAAGAGAACCTGAGCACCTAACCTAAGCCTAACTATACATAGAAGTTGAATATATAACATTAATTGATATATGAAAACAATCCTATTTTTAATACACAATACGTTAACATTGACGTGTACGTCTTGTGGGAGAAGAGCAGCCACTTTAACAAGCCTAGCCTGAGGACAGATTAATACCGCTAGGTATACCCCTGCTTCTCGGTCTATATACACCAAGTTTACTTTAGTCCATGAACTAGGCTTATGGCTTAACATTTGTTAGTTGCTCAGTAAGCCGTGACCACAATAACCCTCCTTCAGTTGATATCCATTAAACCCTACACCAATCCCAACCATTCGTGTTGTTGTTGTTGTTATAGATTCAGCTACTCGGAACAAGTTCCAAGTAGCACGGGCTATGGTGAGCCCGTAACCATTCGAAGTCCACAAGGCTTTATAAACCGAGAGGTTGGTAAGTGGCTGACGACCTACCATGGTCGGGCTCGGTGTTCATCCGACGCAGGAGCACGGAGAACCGCTGGTGGAGCAGCTTGAGCAAGTCGACGCCCTCGCTGGTCTGCTTGGTCAACCCACGACGGAGGTCCTCGCTCTTCTTCAGCAGCGACTGCAAGAGGTGCTTCACCTGCCCAGCCAGAGGGAGGGAGGGAGGTTAAGGCACAACACACTCCGTCACTCTAAACATGTATTCAGTTTGTAAAACAATAAATCTGTTTTGTGTGTTCTTGAGTGATGTACTAAGACGTGTACAGTAATAGTTCCATAAAATCCTGGGGATTTTTAGAGTGTAAGGCAGGTTTAGTACTGACAGGACCAGGCGTTGTAGGCACCAGCCGGTGGAAGAATAATGCCCGGGAACAGTTTGAGAATATTATGTAATCCAAATTAAAATAATATATGAGAAAAAGGCAAATACTTGTCAGGTGGAGAATAGGATGAGAGAGTAAGAACACGAGAGAGGATAAGTGAAGGAATAATAATTATAAGAGGGCAGAGAGGTGAGGGAGCAAGAACAAGAGGGCAGAGAGGTGAGGGAGTAAGAACAAGAGGACAGAGAAGCTAGGGAGTAAGAACACGAGGCACAGGGTGTGGCGGGTGAAGGTGTTGACGGTGTACTGACCTCGAGGAGAGCAGCGACGGTGGCCGGGTCGGGACAGTGGAGGGAGTGAGACTGACCAAACACCTCCCCAACGCTCTCGCCGCCTGACCAACCAACTCCAAGTCATCATAGATATCAAACAGATAATATATATATATATATATATATATATATATATATATATATATTTATATATATTTATATATATATTTATATATATATATATATATTATATATTTTGGTAGCAGTCTTTCCTGTAGACATATATTATTAAATATGACCGAAAAAGTAAGATTAATAATTCTAACACGAATTTTCTCAATCTTTCGTACATTACGCTTCACTGTTGGAGGTAAATCAAAAATCACTTCTCCAAAATTCATTTTTATTTCTAGTCTGACGCGACACGGGCGCGTTTCGTAAAACTTATTACATTTTCAAAGACTTCACAAATACACAACTGATTAGAACTTACGTATCTCTGATTTTATATCTACATTTGAGTGAGGTGGGAGGGGTGATGTGGCATTAACACAAGACAGAACAAGAGGGGATATTAATAGGGTATTAAAAGTATCAACACAAGACAGAACAGAAACAATGGGTATTGAATAGAAGTGTTTGTAGAAAGCCTATTGGTCCATATTTCTTGATGCTTCTATATTGGAGCGGAGTCTTGAGGTGGGTAGAATATAGTTGTGCAATAATTGGCTGTTGATTGCTGGTGTTGACTTCTTGATGTACACATCAAGAAGTCAACACCAGCAATCAACAGCCAATTATTGCACAACTATATTCTACCCACCTCAAGACTCCGCTCCAATATAGAAGCATCAAGAAATATGGACCAATAGGCTTTCTACAAACACTTCTATTCAATACCCATTGTTTCTGTTCTGTCTTGTGTTGATACTTTTAATACCCTATTAATATCCCCTCTTGTTCTGTCTTGTGTTAATGCCACATCACCCCTCCCACCTCACTCAAATGTAGATATAAAATCAGAGATACGTAAGTTCTAATCAGTTGTGTATTTGTGAAGTCTTTGAAAATGTAATAAGTTTTACGAAACGCGCCCGTGTCGCGTCAGACTAGAAATAAAAATGAATTTTGGAGAAGTGATTTTTGATTTACCTCCAACAGTGAAGCGTAATGTACGAAAGATTGAGAAAATTCGTGTTAGAATTATTAATCTTACTTTTTCGGTCATATTTAATAATATATATATATATATATATATATATATATATATATATATATATATATATATATATATATATATATATATATATATATATATATATATATATATATACACACACATACATTCATAAATATATTTTTAATGCTAATTTGCTCAATTTAAAATGATAATTTTTCGGTTAATAATGAAAAGCATTGACAAATGAGAAAACAATTGTTTAATAGTGACTATTAAATTAACGGTTCTCTCTCTCTCTCTCTCTCTCTCTCTCTCTCTCTCTCTCTCTCTCTCTCTCTCTCTCTCTCTCTCTCTCTCTCTCTCTCCCTGCCTTCTGTCTATCTATCGTATTCTGTCTGTGTCTGTCTGTCTGTCTGTCTGTCTATCTATCTGTGCGACGACCAACAGGTGATTACACTCGCGAGAAACAAATATCTTTACTATGGAACCTGCACTATAGCATTTTAAACACTTTACACAGGAGATTACAGTATCTGTAATCAACATCCAGCAAGTATGGATTAATTTCAAGACTATCCATTGAAGTGGATTAGTAGGATTGTTTTTGTACAAAATTCCTAATACCTATGTACTGGGAGACGAGTCTCGTACATAAATTGAATTAACGATTAAATTGGCTGAAACGTGAAACTAGATAAGCAATTAAATTGCCTGGGTGACGAAACTGGCTCGGTAATAACATTTGCTGAACGATGAAATTGGTTGATTGCATCGATAGCTATACTTTAAAACTATCAATATTAAATATTTAATCAGCATTGATAAAAAGATTTAAGAATTTGATCTACAGGTAAATAAAATATAATCTATATTTATTTTTTTTAACTCTGATAAATAACATTTATATAGCTTGATACTAATTCTTTCACGTTTTACAATAACGAGAACACAGCAACATAAGTGAGAACGATATCATCTATGCAATTTATATCACTGATGAGAAAGATGATTCAGCCTCACCTCTCCTGCGGGCGGCCTCCTCCAGGAGAGTAAGGTTGATGCCTGCGGTGGCCCTGGCGATGCTCTGCACCACAGTGTGGTTCACCTGCTGTAGCATCGGCCGGAGGCTCCCCAGGGAGGGCGTCGACCTGCAGGAGGAGGATGGTGTTAAGCTCCTGGGCTTGACATTCGTTGTAATGGTTGTGTAAAGCATGGTGGCGTCTATAGTGTGTGTGGGCGCCCGCCTAGTACGTAATTATCAAAAGAAGGCACCAAGCAAGACTATGTAGCACCGTCAAAGTCGCAGGGTAATCAGAAGGCGCTTGATATCCCTAAGGATGCTAATACTTAATGGCATAAGGCGAGCGACATCAAAGGTATCGGATTCATCAAGGATTCTATCGAGGAACAAGTGACCGCGAGGGGCAGGCGGGAAGCAAGACACATGTTCGTCCTGGAAGTCAGGACATTTAACCCATGGACGACTGTAAGAGGGACAATGGAGTTGGGACAATAAGGAGCAGGACGGCGTTCTATTAAGTGCCCGTGAAACGTGTATGGCCAATACGTAACCTGGCCAGAGCTGTTTCTCACCGCCGGTTACGGTGGGTGTCTGCCTAGATACACTCGTATAGCTGGACTTGCTTAATGGCTTATCCAATTTATTCGACGAGCCCCTTGAGCCCCGCCTAATAGTTACTGTTTTCAGGTAGTCGTACTTGAAAAGTCTGGCGCTAACTCTAAGCCCTTGCCCCTCTAGCTACTGGTCGGTTGATGCAATGACAATTTTCTCACATACTAGACATATTGTCTTTGGAAACTGCTTATTTATTTTGCATCATAATCTCTCCATCTAACCCATTCCACTTGTTTGCAGCGCTTGAGTTGAAGGTCTCCCGTGCATCTTACGACACATCTGTGCATCAAGTGTATAACTGTGTTCCGTAGTTCTATCGTTTCCAGCCTGGCACGCCGTCTGTGTCTAATTTGTTAATTCACCCCATTATTGTGTACGTTGTTATGACACCATTCCTCATCTAAATTGTTTTCATTGTTGCCTGATCAACCAGGCTGTGATTCTTACGTCAGGCTGCGAGCAGCCGCGTCTAACAGCCTGGTTGACCAGACGACCCCCCGGGATGCCTAGTCGGAGACCGGGCTGCGGGGCCATTGATCCCCGGAAGCTACACAAGGTAGACAAGGTAGGTAGGTCGACTTGTTTCCTCAGGTTTGAACAAGCCTTGTTGCATATTTCTGGAACTTGTATATTTTACTGTGTACTTCTTCAAGTAGAGGTTCCAGGCCGGACCTGCATATTCGAGTGTGTGTGTGTACTGACCTATTGGTGTCTCCAAGGTCAAGCTTCAGCTCTGAATCCCTGTCTTTCCAGATGTCTAGTGAAATGACTCTGTACTTGTGTCTCATATCATATCTATTGTCCCAGGGTGCTCTCTTACTCTCAGGTATAGTAGGCATCCATCAGTCTCAGGAGACTATGGAGTTGCGCTCTGGTTGTCGGTCTGGAGTGGCCTCTCCAGGGCGCAAGGTCAGGGTAGGTGACTTAGGTAACCTGCTGTTATATGGTGGCTCGTCTCCTTTAGTTGCTCACATGTCTTGTCTTTTCTTTCAGTTCTCTCGGAAGTTCGAGAATCAGGTTTCAATGGGCGCTCCTCATGCAGTTTGTTTTAGTGTGTGTGTGTGTGTGTGTGTGTGTGTGTGTGTGTGTACTCACCTAGTTGTACTCACCTAGTTGTGTTTGCGGGGGTTGAGCTCTGGCTCTTTGGTCCCGCCTCTCAACCGTCAATCAACAGGTGTAAACAGGTGATATGTGTGTGTGTGTGTGTGTGTGTGTGTGTGTGTGTGTGTGTGTGTGTGTGTGTGTGTGTGTGTGTGTTTGTGTGTATGTGTGTGTGTATGTGTGTGTGTATGTGTGTGCGCGCGCGTGCGCACGTGCCAGCGTATGCGCAGCACACAGGAAAGAGAAGGTAATGGGATATACAATCAGTACTCTAGTGACCTTTACAACTGTGACAGTATGGCGAGTGTAGCACAAACATGACGCAAACATCGCTGAAGCTGCCCCAAGGCAGCAACGATAATTACGCCGACCCAGACCATGATGCGGGGGGGGGGGGGGAAGTTGCGTAGCTTGAGTAGTAAACTTTATCGGCCACGGCGTATGGGGGGGGGGGGAGGGGAGGTGAAAGTAATCCCCCCCCCCCCCCGCACCCTCTCTCATTCCCAGCGTGAACTACATGTTGCGTAGTGAAGTTTACCACTTACCCAGACGAGGACCCAGTATAAAATAGGTAAATCTTACCCACAACACACGCGAGAAATCAGCGAAGAAATGATAAAGCAAAATATTTGGAAATAAATTCAATATAAATAACACTTATTAATAATATGGGAGTGTGCTAGCCGTCTGTGTGTGCTGAAGCAAAGGAGAATCTGTGATCTTTGGGACTCAAAACTTCTGTCATTATTTATGAATGTGGTAACATTGAAAAAAAGAAGTAAATGGCGGGAAACAATCTACAAAAGGAGGAAATTTGTGTTGATGTTAGAAACGCGATTTTTTTAACGAGACCATTAATGCTCCGATGAATTAAGTTTTCCTCTATGGCCATCTTCCGTAAATTCTTGAAAAGAAGAGATAAATTAAGATGTTTATAGGAAGAAAACGTTAAGCCTGTATGAGGATATATCACTTGTAAGGGTTACAGTGTCAGAGTGAAGGAATGACTTCTGACCACTTGTACCACCGAGGATGGAACGCCGCCCCTGTAGAAGCCAACCTGTTGTTCCACCGTTGAACCTGAAGAAAACGAATTATACGGAAAACGTTGGAAATGACTGGCATTGTACTTCTATATAAGCAAGGAAGAAAAGGAGGTCCAACATTTTAACTAAAATGTGAACTGGATTAATGTCTGGAAGCTCTTGTGTTCTAGCGCGTCTTGACTCTTTTGGGCGTTGTTTTTGAGCGGAATTCAAGGTGATTGCATATATTTGGAGTTTTAAATTAAGATAGTTTACACCGGAAATATGCAAATTAGTGAAAACGGCGATTGGTCATATTTTGTCCAAATCCCCCTACAGTTTTCTACTTACGATGCCAATCGGAAATATAACTCTTGAGCGCTATTTCTGAGCGATTATTCAAGACACAGCTGCAGAGATTATCATTCAAGAAACTGATCGGTGGACAAACTATGAACTGGTGTATTTCGCGAAAAAGAATTAATATAAAAACTACAAATAAAAGTTGGGTAAGAAAAGTTCATAATTTTTGTCATTAAAAAAACAATATTGAGAAAATTTGTAAGAAAATATTTATAATGGAAAAAAAAGTTTTAAGTGAAGAACTCCAAACTTCAGATGGGAAATAAGTTTCCCATCGTGCAGTACGGTACACATGCACACGCACACGCGCGCACGCACGCACGCACACACGCACACACGCACACACGCACACACAGGTGGAAGACACACGCACACACGCACACACAGGTGGAAGCTGAGTACCCAAATGAGCCACAGAGACGTTAGAAAGAACTTTTTCAGTGTCAGAGTAGTTAGCAAATGGAATGCATTAGGAAGTGATGTGGTGGAGGCTGACTCCATTCACAGTTTCAAATGTAGATATGATAGAGCCCAATAGGCTCAGGAATCTGTACACCAGTTGATTGACGGTTGAGAGGCGGGACCAAAGAGCCAGAGCTCAACCCCCGCAAGCACAATTAGGTAAGTACAATTAGGTAAGTACACGCACACACGCACACACGCACACACGCACACACACACACACACGTGCCCCCTACGTGATCTTGAGCGAGAGGTCCTGGTGTACAGAATGAATTTTGTTTTTGACGTCGATGAGGGCGTCGTTGGCGGTCTTGGTGCCCTTCTTGATGTCCTCCCTGGCCTCCGCCGTCGCCGTCAGCGTCTGCGTACCCAGGTCCTCCAGCTCCTCCCGGGTCTCCCTCATCTCCTCCTGTAGTTCTCTGACCACCTGCACAGTCAGGGAGAGTGTTAGTTGTCACCTGGCAAACTGGACACTGACAGTAAATCAACATTGTAGTGGAGTGACTACACTCTAATATATATATATATATATATATATATATATATATATATATATATGTAAGCACCCCCTGCTTACCTTGTTGATTTTCTTGTAGAGAGCGTCTTGGAGTGTGTTGAGAGTGTGGTCCAGCAGACGGGGTAGAGTGCGTTCCACGTGCTCACCCACACTCCTCGTTATCTGTCCACTCAAGTCAATTACACCATCGTCGAGGACGAACCATCAATCATCGCCAAATGAAAAAAAACAAAAAGGAGTTCAATTTTTGTTCAGTCAAGTGGTTCGTCTTATTGTGTATGAAAGAGTTGAGTTGAACAATGTTCCGTCACAGTGAGAGTGACCAAGAGTCTTGTGTTGATCACTATACATAATCGGGAAATACGATATCAAAATGATTGCAGACAATATCGAAGATTCAACTGTATTAATACAGTTGAATATTAATGCTACTAATAATAAATATTATTAATATTAATACTATATAATATTAATATTAATGTTATTAATTTATTGTTAATTAGTTTATTATATAATTTATTAATAACAATATGAATATTAATACTAATAATAATATTAATATTGAATATTAATACAGTAAACACAATTGTGTTTACTAACCGGAGGACACCTAAAACACTTCACATATATTATACATAATAATTTACTTAATTATAACTGAGGTTCACTACAACCTGTATTGACATCAGGGAACAGGATGGCGGCGGATTGTCAAAGGGCTTCCCCATTGTTCCTGATTATTTTTTTTTTCAACTGGATTTTGAACTTTGCAGCTTCGGCGGGTAGGCGGTTCAACGAGTTTATAACCCTACGAGTGAAAAAGTATCTTCTGGTTTCTATCCTACATCGTAGCTTGTTGAGCTTGAACCTGTTGTTTCTTGTATGCTATACATTTGACCATTTAAATAAGTGGTCTGTATTAATATTCTCCAACTTGTTCTGTCAAAGGTCTGGATGAGATCCGTCCCGTCATGTCTGGTTTGTGGTGTAGTTAGTCCCGTGACCCTGAACTGTTGCTGGTGTGAGAGTTGACTTAGTTCTGGGAGGATTTTTGTCGCTGTTAACTTTTCTCGGTAGCAGGTAAGGGGCTTCATCTTTATTGGAGATAATATTGGGCAAGTTTGTATTTCACTTAATAAACAGACTAAGACAGAGAACTTTAATCAATGTTCTCTATCTTATTGTAATAATGTTCTCATGTTAAAATGAGAACTTCTACGATAGTTCACCGTAGTAAGGACTTTAAGGGCTATGGTAATTCACCTTAAAATAGAGATATTAGGGGGTGAGGGGGGGGTTAATGTGTTGGGTAGGGGGGGTAGTGGGGTGGGTGCGTTGGGGGGGGTGAGGGTGGGGGGAAGCCCAGACAGGATGAGGGAAGTAAATAATTATCAGAAGAATGCGCCAAGCTAAGGATGACGCGAGGAAGACTTTTCATACTAAAAACTTTTCTTACACTTTTTTCTTACACTTTTCTTGCCATTAATAGTACTGGTGATGTTAATGTTAGTACTGGTGGCGATGAGGGTGATGATGTTAACACCAACTCAACACTACTTATTTTGATAACATTGACGCCATTATTAATAACACTGGCGGTCTTATATAATATTGTTGTCTCTTATTAACCATACAGCCCATCCTCCTGTTTTGGTAGTACTTATAGTAACGATGAGGACTATAGTATACGTACCGACGTACAACGAAATTGGAACGTAGAAATCATGAACTATTGAGTTGGACAAACTAGAAAACTATTTTTTACTTGTGTTGCTTTGACAAACTAACCTAACCTAACCTCCCTAGGCCTAATACACGATATCTGAGACCTAATATAGTACATATGTGTGCTATACTAGACCTAGGAATATTTTAGTTAGTGCTTTAGCTTCATTTATTTCAAAACAATTCTCTACTACTCAGTATACTACTACTATCTAACAGCTAAGACTGTACGAATTCTGACTATTGACGATCGTCACAATAGGTACTATCTAAACAGGAGGATGGACTGCAGCCTACTGATGCACAAAGAAATTACCTTAAAGTGATGTATTAAGTGAGAAAATCAACTGGAGCGACTCGAACCAGCAACCTGGGTAATCCCCTCGCACACTTTAACCCACTGAACCCCGATAGTATATATCGTGGTTCCGTGGTTGAAGGTGTGTGCTTGGGAGTACCAGTGTTGCTGCTTGCTGGAAATATTAGTTCTCAGTATTCTCGATAATACTGATGCTAATACTAGTAGTAAGAATAATATATTATATAATATATATATATATATATATATATATATATATATATATATATATATATATATCACGGCCGTCAAAAGGAAGTGATAGCCGAGGCTATTTAGAATTATATATATATATATATATATATATATATATATATATATATATATATATATATATATATATATATATATATATATATATAATTCTAAATAGCCTCGGCTATCACTTCCTTTTAACGGCCGTGATATATATATATATATATATATATATATATATATATATATATATATATATATATATATATATTATATATATATATATATATATATATATATATATATATATATATATACATACAGAGAGAGAGAGGGAGAGGGGGGAGGGGGAGCTGAGAAGAGAGATGAAGGCCCATATTGACACAGTTCCGGACCAACAGTTGACCAACAGTTCAATGATGATATCAACACAATAAAGTAGATGGTTGCTTCAGAGTTTACGATGTCTGGTGTTCACTTTGTGCTCAGCTTTGATATACGTGGTGTTTGGTCGGTGTTCAAGTAGTGTTTAGGTGTTTTTCAGTTTGGAGTTCTATTCAACTGATATACAGCTAGAGTACAGTCGATTGTTTGTGTTCATCTGGCGTTTAGTTGCTGCTCAGTGTAGCTCACGATATCACCCAATACAAGGTATATACACACACACACACACACCCTCAGCTTATTTACAGCTTAAAAGCATTAGTGCCTTAGTTGGTGAGAACAGTAGCGGCGACAGGCAGGTCCGAACGACCCACTACAAGCTGCAGGTGATCTCTCTTAACACCGGGGAGCACCAAAGCCTACGTGCTCGACACATGGCTAACAAGCACTAGAGAAGCTGTTAGAAGACAAGCTTTAGTGCGCTTGTAGCCTAGTGATGACCAGGATTCATCAAGCGTGAACTCAAAACCTTTATGAAACCCTCCCTTATATCTTTCCTCAATCATAGAGGCTTTGTTTACGTTTATTAGACGGGTTATGGGCTTAAAAAATTTATACCCAAATGTTATACTTGTTATAAACGGTCTCTTAGTACTTTTAGAGTTCCGATTGAGTTAAGATGTAGATGTTCCGTAAGTGGTTGAGTCAACGCTTGTTGAAACATGACCCCTGGTGCTCCTAGGTACCTCAAGGTACTGCAGGTGAGAAAGACTTGGGAGAGACAATACCGTGGCTGAGAGGTCACTGTCGGTGGCCCTCGTACTCCAGCTGGACCTTGTGTCGTGCCTCGACTTGTCTCCTGTTTCCACGCGGGAGTCTAACCGCTCCAGCTGTGTCGCCATGCCCTGGTGGTGGCAGGTGTAGGGGTCATGGCCTGGTGGTGGCAGGTGTGGGGGGTCATGCCCTGATGGTGGCAGGTGTGTGAGGTCATGCCCTGGTGGTGGCAGGTGTGGGGGTCATAGCCTGGTGGTGGCAGGTGTGGGGGTCATGCCCTCGTGGTGGCAGGTGTGGGGGGTCATGGTCTGGTGGTGGCAGGAGTGGGGGGTCATGGCCTGGTGGTGGCAGGTGTGGGAGGTCATAACATGGTGGAGGTAGGTGTGGGGGTCATGCCCTGGTGGTGGCAGGTGTGGGGGGTCATGTCCTGGTGGTGGCAGGTGTGGGGGTCATGGCCTGGTGGTGGCAGGTGTGGGAGGTCATACCCTGGTGGTGGCAGGTGTGGGGCTCATGGCCTGGTGGTGGCAGGTGTGGGAGGTCATAACATGGTGGAGGCAGGTGTGGGGGTCATGCCCTGGTGGTGCCAGGTGTTTGGGATCATGCCCTAATTGTGGCAGGTGTGGGATGTGTCATACGCATATGGAGGCAGGTGTGGAAATCATACCCTAGTGGATGCAGGTGTGGAAATCATACCCCTGCTGGTGGCAGGTATAATTACTTTACCCAAGAATTCAAGAAAATTGTTTACATTAAAAAATATACAAAAATATCCACATGAAAACAAAGAATTATTGAACGTCTTGAGCAAAACTTTGTCTAGAAATAAATAGAGATAACACGTGTTAGGCGGTGACGGGGCCTCCTGCAGGCGTGTGTGTAGGGTACCTGAAGGTCCCTGTTGGTGGACCTGATGGTGGTCTTGAGGGACGAGGTCTCCAGGGTCAGGCGGGAGTCCAAGGCGTCCACCTTCACCACCAGGGAGTCCACCTTGTTGAGGCGTGAGGCCAGCGTCTCGATCAGCGCCTCCTGGAACACATGTCACAACCTTCATGACTGTCTACTGTATGTGTCACAACCTTCATGACTGCATGGTATGTGTCACAACCTTCATGGTTGTCTTTGGTGTCACAACCTTCATGACTGTCTACTGTATGTGTCACAACCTTCATGGTTGTCTTTGGTGTCACAACCTTCATGACTGTCTACTGTATGTGTCACAACCTTCATGGTTGTCTTTGGTGTCACAACCTTCATGACTGTCTACTGTATGTGTCACAACCTTCATGACTGTCTACTGTATGTGTCACAACCTTCATGACTGTCTACTGTATGTGTCACAACCTTCATGACTGTCTACTGTATGTGTCACAACCTTCATGACTGTATGGTATGTGTCACAACCTTCATGGTTGTCTTTGGTGTCACAACCTTCATGACTGTCTATGGTATGTGTCACAACCTTCATGGCTGTCTACGGTATGTGTCGCAGCTCAACGTTAATATTAAGAACATTTGAGAACATTATCGCACCATTAGGCATCACAGATGACTATTCAATTATGTGAAGTGGGATGAAGAACCAGCTGCTGTGAATCTTTACAGTGGTGTTAGTTTTACAGTTAACTACCAATGTATCTTTCAGATATTTAATGACCTGTTTCAGCAAATATGGAAGACCACAAATTACTCTAACGGGCTTTATTTTTTTTAATATATTGTCATTTTTTTATATATCCTTGAATTCTATTAGCAAGATTCAGATCTAAAATTAGCTGAGGACCGATAATATAATTATCTCTAACATGAGAAAAGAAATCACTGCAGATGTTCGATTAGTGTCAAAATGTGTACATCACCAAATGTTATTGTTAGTAGTTGAGTGAGCAGACACTAACCCCCCTGGCGGCGGTGTCTGCAAGACGGACCAGGCGAGACTCGAGGCTGACCTCCAAGGTGGCGAACCTTTGCGTCAGCTGCGTCACAGCCTGACTCAGCTCCAGCAGCCCCTCCGTCGGCCCAGCGCCGCCCCGCGACGCACTCTGCAACACACACACTATCTGTAGTTTTAAAGTCTCCTCTGTGGACTCAGCGCCACCTTGTGACGCACTCACCGCCTGTGGCGTTACAGCCTCCTTTTTTGGCGGCAAATATTAAGAAAGCCGCCCCCTTCCCAGGACCTGACTCCGTAAATAATGCATTTGTTTTGCCTAACTAGAAACGCTCAACCCCAAGCAACCCACCTAACCCACCGCAGCTGTTGCTCAGATAACGTCAATAATATGGTGCTTCACAGTCTCTGTCACCGAGCGAGTGTGTCAAGCGGTTCAAAAGGAATTTAACCCGTCAAAAGACCATTACACAGTGCAGTGCACATTATCATAGGTGATGGTCACTACGAAAAAATGCTTTGTGTAGCCTATCCCGCGGCAGAGTATAGCCCCACAAAGCAGCCGCGTGTAGCCCTAAAGAACTACTACTAGTGGTTCAAGGAAGCCGTCGACGACAACACTTCGACCCGTGTCTGCTGAAAGGTAAGTTATGTCCTTTTATAATTAGGGTCGAATCTATGAAGTGATCAGAATAACTATGGGTTACACCCTTAGTACAAGGACCACGAGAGGTGGTTAAGGGGCCGGACACAGGCCCATACAGGTTAGTATGGGCCTGTGTGCGACCCTAGTATTACTTCTTCAACGTCTCAGTAAAGAACCTATGGTATGGAGGTTACTGAATAACCAGTAATAATAATAATAGTTAATACCAGTAACCTATGGTTACTGAACCTATGAACCTTTAACATAGAGTGCTGAGCTAGAAATAAATGTGGTATTAATTAAAAAGAAATCTTTGATATTTGGTGTTCCAGGATGATTTACTGGACAAAGGTCTAACAGCCTCCTATCCGTATCCCACCCATTCCCAGCACTCACTGGCTATGCCAACAACTAACTAGCATAGCTAGCATATATAGCACAAATAATTCGCCAACAGAACCTTAACACCTAACCTAACCAATGCCTAAATATGCACAATATGCTAATATATAACCATTAATTTATATCTAAGAAAATTCCTGTTTTGAATTATTGGCATATTAAAATTGACGAATGCGTCTTTGGGATTGACCGGTGGATGCCAACCCGTCCTCGACTCAAGTCCATTTCATCCAGCGGTCAACCCCACAGACGCATTCATAAATTTTAACATGCTGTTCACTTAAAGCGGGAATTTTTCAAATATATATATTATTATTATTATAATATATTAGCATATTGTGCATATATAAGCATAGGTTAGGTGTTTAGGTTCTGTTGGCGATTATTTGTATTTGTAGTACGTGGGTGAAGCATTTATAGCATTGTGATTCGAACAAAATTCGTCAGTGAAGCATATGTTTTGGATATGTTCGAATGTCAGCAGTTGTGAGTCGTGTGTAAACCGCTTTTCATTCATAAACAGGGGGTTTGGCGGGTGCATGGAATCACTTTTGGATCTTTGTTTTGAGGACGGGCTGTCACAACTGCTAACGTCCGAACACTTCCGGAACAAGTGCTTCACTGACGAATTTCGTTCGAATCACAACGCTGTAAATGCTTCACTCATGTAAAACAAATACAAATATTCGCCAACAGAACCTAAACACCTAACCTAACCTATCCTATGCCTATATATACACAATATGCTAATATATTATAATATTAATTTATACTTGAGAAAATTCGTGTTTTGAATAAACAGCATGTTAAAATTTATGAATGGGTCTTTGGGGTCGACCGCTGGATGGAATGGACTTGGTGTGCAGCCCGTCCTCCAAACAAATTATAATCCATCCTATAATTTTTCTAGTTGACACTATATTTGTTTGGTTTGGTTTTTTAAACTTTAGGTCGCCAGACATCATTATTCCTAGATCCTTAATATGTTGCCTTCCTACTATGGGCAGATTTGTGCCTTGTATCCTGTGTTTCGTTTAAGGTCTTCATTTTTACTATACCGAAGTACCCGGAATTTACCACTGTTAAACCTCGCTCTTATTGGCTGGCGCTGGTATCTTTGATATCTTGATTAATGCCAGAATGTCATGTGGCATCTGTTCTCTCACTGGCAGCAACAGTCACGTGACACGGAAGGCAAGGCTTCCTTAATGTCCAAGAAGATGCCGTCTTTCTAACGCTAGAATAGCATATTTGAGCAGAAATAAAAGACCAAATAGTTTCTAATACATAAAATCTTACCTTGACATAGAGGAATTGCCCCTATAATTAGTGCATAATATAATTCATGGTTCTTTGTTTCATTAACTTGAATCATCGGGGAATGGAACTCGGATATGTAATATAGCAGAAAGGACTCGGAAAGTAGCTAATTGCTACTCGGTCTCAGTTTTAAATCTCCATTGAAGCCCCGCGATGGCATCCTGGTGGCAATCCTTCATCTACGTCATATATACTCAAATCCACACTGGTGTTGGTAATTATTTACCCACGGCCAATGACAGGGAAGGGTTCAAGAACTACCACCCTTCTCATCAATACACTCATCATAACCATTATATTTAACGTCAATAACCACATGTTAACTTGACTGCCTTCAACATGCATATAAACATGCACACAATTGATTGAAGGTTGAGAGGCGGGACTAGAGAGCTGAAACTTTACCCCCCCCCCCTTCCGCAAGCACATTTATATAACAATTACATTATCAGCCAAGTCGAAAGTCCTAAAAACTACATTTGACAAGATCACAGATGGAAATGACAGTTTACAGACTGTTACGGTTCAATTCTAGGAACCCATTGTGCTACAAGACTAGATATATATATTAAAATATGTAAATAGCTTATCAAAATGACCGAGTTACATAAAATATCTAACTTTGCTAAATAGCTTTTGGAGTTCAGTTCTTGAGCTCATTATGTTCCTGTATGTAACCTTTTTCACTAGCACCCGCAGGACGGGTATGCGGGTAGGTGATAAAGGAACTACACTAAAAGATCTACCCGCTGTGACAGGTGACGGACCACAGTACAGAGACTGTACTGGTGAGGATAATTCTCAGGCGTGGCTCGGAGCCTGGTTGACACGGCAATGTTTACCTTCCATCACACAACCACCGGTTATCTGCACTGAGAGAGAGTTTAGCGTTCGCGGGCCTTCAGAGAAGGTGTTGCCAGACCCAACACTACGCACGGTATCTCGAGAGCAACGCGGGGAGCAGCATGCTCTCCGAGATAATAAATAAATATGAGAGTATTGAATCAGCAATGGAACCTGGAGCTGGGGGAGAGGGGGGGGGGGAGAGTCAGCCTGGGGTCACCCCGAGGTGCTGGGGTTGGGTGGGGACCGGCGGGTGATGACTGGCAGGCCACCTCATTAGCGCTAGTTACATCCTAAACAACTCACCCAATACAAGTCTCCAATTTGTGAACCAAGCCGCCATACTGTGTGTGTGTGTGTACTCACCTAGCTGTGCATGCGGGGGCTAAGCTCTGGCTCTTTGGTCCCGCCTCTCACCCGTCAATCAACTGGTGTATAGGTTCCTGAGCCTACTGGGCTCTATCATGTCTATATTTGAAACTGTGTATGGAGTCAGCCTCCACCACATCACTGCCTAATGCATTCCATCTGTTAACTACTCTGACACTGAAAAAGTTCTTTCTAACGTCCCTGTGGCTCATGTGGGTACTCAGTTTCCACCTGTGTCCCCTTGTTCGAGTACCACCAGTGTTGAATAGTTTATCCTTGTCTACCCGGTCGATTCCCATGAGGATTTTGTAGGTAGTGATCATGTCTCGCCTTACTCTTCTGTCTGACCTGTGTGTGTGTACTCACCTAGTTGTGTCTGCAGGATCGAGCATTGACTCTTGGATCCCGCCTTTCGAGCATCGGTTGTTTACAACAATAACTATGGTCCTATTTCCCTATCATACCTGGTTTTAAAATTATGAATAGTATTTGCTTCCACAACCTGTTCCTTAAGTGCATTCCATTTTCCCACTACTCTCACGCTAAAAGAAAACTTCCTAACATCCCTGTGACTCATCTGAGTTTCCACCCATGTCCCCTCGTTTTGTTACTATTCCGTGTGAACATTTCGTCTATGTCCACTCTGTCAATCCCCCTGAGTACTTTATACGTTCCTATCATGTCCCCCCCTCTCCCTTCTTTCTAGTGTCGTAAGGCACAGTTCCCTCAGGCGCTCCTCATACCCCATCGCTCGTAGCTCTGGGACGAGTCTCGTTGCAAATCTCTGGACCTTTTCCAGTTTCAGTATATGCTTCTTCAGATGGGGACTCCATGATGAGGCGGCATACTCTAAGACTGGCCTCACGTAGGCAGTGTAAAGCGCCCTAAATGCCTCCTTACTTAGGTTTCTGAATGATGTTTTAACTTTTGCCAGTGTAGAGTACGCTGCTGTCATTATCCTATTTATCCGTTATCCTGTGTGTGTACTCGCCTATTTGTGCTTGCGGGAGTTGAGCTTTGGCTCTTTGGTCCCGCCTCTCAACTGTCAATCAACAGGTGTACAGGTTCCTGAGCCTATTGGGCTCTATCTTGACCTGGCTCCGCAGTCTCTCCGAGACACAATCCGGGGTTGTACACAATTCCCCCCATGCACTCGGGCTCTGTCAACAAGTTATTCTACCTCTTCGCCTTTACTTCTTTTTCTGCCGTGGCTCAGTCGAATAAGGCGCGTCTGGGATCATCCTGGACGTAAGTTCGAACCCTCATTACGGCCCTTGTGGATTTAGTCATCGCAGTTAGTGTTGACGAGAGCGGAGACTTGACCTGGCTCCAGATTGACCTGGCTCCAGGCTGACCTGGCTCCTTGGTGTCTTGTGTCCTTAAACAGCTGCCGGTCACAATGACAGACGTCTGTCTCCCTAGCAACCCAGCCTCCCAAAATGACAGCACTTGTAAATTAATTCTTATGGATAGAATGTACAATATATGGACTCTTAGAACAAAATGCGAACATTTTTGGGGTATATTGAAATTCTAAATGGTATAACAAAAACTTTAACAGGATAACCATAAACCTAACCTGTGCTAGGCCTAAGTAAGCAATCTTAAGCCTAATACATGTACCAAACGAGGATTACGAAAAGTTAGGTTTAGTTGTGTCCTTCTTACTCGGGGCTATACAAACGTTATAGCATAAAACGGTATTGTTTAGGCTGCTGGCGACGGTAGTGTGTACACTACAGGCCAAGTCGCTATAGCTTTTATTATGTTTAGATGACAGATTTAACCTAAATATACATACATACGTACGTTGCATTACATAAAGGTATTTAAGTTAAACTGCTGTTGTTGAGTTAGGGGCGACGACGATCGTGGGATCGGATGCGCCCCGGCGTACCCGTGAAGGGTGAATCGCAAAGCCAGGAAAGGCGAAACGCCAAGCCAAAACGCGAAAAGAGTGACGCCAAGCACTAGAAACTAATATGCCACACGGCAAAGCTACGCACAAAGGGAGAGGCAGAAGCACATAACATAACAGGGCAAGCAAACAGCCAGAAGGGCACACAGCATGTCATAGAGCAAATACACAAGAAATCAGAGCACATACTTGCCCGGGAACTTGGCTCGCGGGAATCTTACATTGAACGCCTCCCAGAGCACCCATTGCCAAGGGTCTCGTCCATCCGCCGGGGACGCCATAACATCCGGAACCGGGGCAACAAACACCTGCAAACTGGGGACCCAGATGGTAGAACTCACGAGGCGAGAAGTCGCCACTCGCCCCCACAGGAAGGGAACTTGCCCCCCACGAAAGCACTCCGGTCCGTCAGACAGCAGTAACTCGGCAATCTTCGACCAGTGACCCGGTGGCATCACAGACGCCGGCAACACGTCCCCCAGGGCCCCAACGCGCACCCGCACCACAGGGGTACCCGCGGCCCCGGGCACACCACCAGACGACAGCAGGGAACCCGGACGGCGCGCATCCTTCCGTAACGTCACCACCAGGCCACGCCCAGCACCAGAGTCCACACCATCCCTGGCAGTGGAAGCCACCACCCCCCACTGCAGAGAGTCCCCCGGCGGAGAAAGAACCAAAGGCACGTCCGAGACACAGGCACCAGCACCAGTAGGCACATGGACCTCCGCCACCACGAACCGCGGAGACATCGACGCATCCGTATCCACACTGTCAACATCCGAAGCCCCACAGTCCCTGGGCCGACGTTGGTGATTTCAGTAAGAAGACGAACGCCGGGAACGTTTGGGCACCGGCCGGATATCGTCCGAGCCGGTAAGTGACCCAGAAACACGGGTACCACGAGCCGAAGGAACCGACGCCAGGACGGCAGCAGCCTGTTCCACAGGGGGAACCGGGCCACACACAGCAGGAGGCTTCGCAGCCACCCCAGCACCAAGCACATCCGGGACCCGAGTCACGGACACAGGGCCAGGCGCAGCATCAGAAGACGAGAAAGAAGACAGTGACGTCACACAGGGAGCTCCAGGAAGGCCCACGGGAGCAACTGGGACAGCGACAGGATCAGGCAGACCAACCGACGGTACCTCAAGAACCGGAGGAACGGCAGGCGCCGCCGGGGAAGCTGCAGCAGCAAACGGGACGCTCACCACCTCATCAACATCACCGGAGACTGCCTCCGGAGGGAGCGGCGGGAAATCCTCGTCGCGGAACAAGTTGACAGGAGCAGCAGGGGCCTCAGAGCACCCGGCAGCCTGATGCCCAACAGGCCACACCGGAAACAGGTACGAGGTTGCCTGGCATAATACACCCGGACGTAGTATCCCATAAGCCGGACAGAAGAAGGTATATCCGACCGCAGGCGCATCCCCAACGTGCGAATGTTTGTACGCCTCCCAGCATACCGCCCCGAGGAGAGCGTGTTCACCCGCACGCTGATAACAGTACCAAAACCCCCGAAGTAACGCCGGAGGAGGTCATCAGGGAATTCCAGGGGCGCACCATGGATACTGACATAAGTCAGGGCACCACTGCGGTCCAAAATCGCCACAGAGTCTGGCAACGGCAACGTACGCCCCCCGTACCGACGGAGGAAGTCCCGGTACTCGTCCTCCCCCACGAACTTAATAACAACCCGATGGGCCGTAACTAGCTCCACACCGTAAACAGCTTCCACCGGGACACGAAGCATGTCACACATCACCATCTCGATGGTCGGATAACCAGCCTTACAAGTGAACTCCAGGCCCACGGAGTTCACACGCTGAACAGGAGGAAGATGGCTCCCCATGTCAGAACTGCCATGTCAACGCAGCCAGGCAGGCAACAAAACTGGTAGGACAGGGACGCCCACACCACCTGGCGACCAAAACAGCAAACAACTCCAACAGCCACGGAGGGTCAAGAAACGTCCTCACTCCACGGCTGCTAGCAGTCGACTCTCGTTAAACTGCTGTGTATTCCCTCTCATTAAGGTCTCAGCACACTTGAGCACTTTGAAGCCCTTGCTTAGCTTGCAGTATACAAGGAAAATATTGAATAGAAAATTGCGAAATAAATTAGGCGCCTATAGAAGCTATCATAGAAGAACCACAGAAAATGTAAAAATAACAGGAGTGCAAACAGGAACTAAGAGATGCATCGTTTACAATGATAATTGTCAAACACAAGTAGCAAGCAATTAAACCAGTAGAGAAGGAACAATTCTCTCACAGCTGGCTAACGACTTTGCTCCACCTATCTCCAGGCCGCTCCTCTACCATGGGAGCTTGATCACACCAGATGTTATGGGTACGGACGATACCTGTCACACATTACAGCATTGCTTAAGAACATAAAAGAAACTGTAGCAGTTCCCCTGCCACATACTAGCAGCAGAGCTGCTGATAATAACGAATTATCATTTATATCCACCCAAACTCAATATTTAACCTACGCTTGAAGCAGGCAAGCGATTCCCCAGTCCGTTGTGACGCAGTACTGTGAATAGTCAGGTGTTTACAGGCACATCCAAACTATTATTACAGGAAATAATATAGCTTCAGTGTTTATGATAAAATACTTGAAATCTCGCTTTGTCAAACTGTGTTGCTAGTTGATGAAAATAAAATATACAAGAAAACTATATTGTATGATAAGTAAATAATAAATTATACACCATTCAACACAGAACTTGAAATATTTATAAATCTAGTTTCCCATTTGGATAACACAGAATATCATCTCTTTGTGTTCATTTATGGCTCAATAAACTTGAATTTGAATGCAAAATATTATCAAACTACTTTAACAACAAAAGTGACGGTTACATAATTATATATTTCTTTCCAGTTGGGTCATTCCTAATAGTATTAATATATTTTATTAGGAACGTGAATTATCGACTGATTTTTGTCAGGTTTCGTATAATGTCTCAGTTTTGACTCAAAAAATTACATATATAATACAACAAGAACATTAATTCTATAAGAAATTTGTTTTGTTTAACTTACTTTTTCGGGAAAATTTTGCTTGTTACGCATTTCTGGCTATTAAGTACGTCACAGGTTTATTAATGCCGTTCGTTATGGATTGCAACAAACATTAGTTTCTCCTTTAAATTAGTTTTTTATGAACGAGGCCAATACAGAAAACTCGCTCAGCAATAACGCAGTTGTAGGGGTAACTTAAACATTTTCTTCCGATGTTTTAATTTGTTTTATCGAAGACAAGAAGCCTGTGTGTGTGTATATATATATATACTTTAAACTTACGTCGAAGTCTCTCCAGTGTTGAACTACTGACCATCCCCAGGATGCTGCCCACAACAGTTGCCTAATTTCCGGGTACCTATTTACCGCAAGGTGAAAAGTGTGTGATTTTTTTCTCCATGCATTAGGTGAAAGGAAACTTGCCCAGCCATTTATGTTCTACCTGGGAATCGAATCCAAGATCCTCAGTTGCGAGTCGATAGCGTAACGACTTTACTAGCAAAGCATCTTTTGAAAATTGGTGAATTAAAAATAAATCATTTTAGGAACAAACAAAGCACTACAGACAGGAAAACGCAATAGAGAAAAGTTGAGTGTAAAACTTACCAAGGTGAGGGAGGGTAGAGGAACCATGATGAGGAGGAGTATTAGAAGGTGCTGGTTCGGGCCGCTCCCACCACAACCCCCTGCTCCTCGCCCCTCAGGCATCACACCCAGCAAAGCCTCCTGACGGCGGTGATCCTTACCCGGCTTCACTGCAGGCCCTCGGTACCTTAACGTTGCTAGCCTCCAGGCGAGAGAGCAGGCCACTTTCCTTCCTGTTAGCGGTGATCCTCGCTTCACTGTAGGCGCTCTTGTCCCCCTCTAAAGTTGACGACTTGCACAGTTACCACCTGTGGACACGGACTCGACGCTTTTGCCCGTCACGGGTTGATGTTGATGCTCTACAGGCAGACTGACTAGTACAACTACTCAGCAAGCAACCAACGTGTATACTTACTGATCAATATATATATATATACTATTAGTGACCACTTCATGCTAAGTATTATTTGTATCAGTCAGAAGAGTTACGGTCGTTTTCCCAGTAAAACAACAAGCACTTGTAAGCATCACTCAAATTATCTTCCTCACACTCGTAGATCAATACAGATTACATGGACAAATTTAACATATTCAGTACATTTTCTAACGATTGTGCCATGTATATAATATTTGTTCTTAATAAAGCCTTAATGATGAGAGTTTTTATTTTGTTCAATTTAAATCAATCTCGCAATTTAAAACTGTAGAACACGTCAGACTTTCTCACTGAGGTTAAATGCACAGAATATATCAAAGGTACCACAGTGTGCCACACACGTGGGTGGAAGAACGCCCATATCCATCCTTAGAGCTGCTGCTAAGTGTGTGTTCAGACGACAGCATCGTCCAGGGAAGTTACTAGGTTCTCTCTCTCTCTGTGTGGCTGCTAGCAAGGGAGCGTGAGATGGTATCGTCAGGTCTTCTGTACACTTTATTGATTTACCCGATACCTACAAGCAGCTGATTTCAGCAGGTATTAATGCAAATTAACACCAGTTGGTAAAAATGGCTTTAGTTCTTCTACAAGCGCTGTATTTTATGAAACTTCCACTAACACTGCATCGTGTGGCATGTTTCACCAACTCTTCTTTACATTCACTACAAATATTTACATTTTAACTTATTCACTTAAAACCTCGTACTATCAAAAGAATGTAGAGAATATGGCTTCCTCGGACGTTATAGTTGTGGAATTTTGTTTATTATTATTTTCAGGATTTATTTAGTTATGAGTTACTCTCAGTAGACATTCAATGTTAAATCCAATGAGTGACAGATTCCAGAAGTATTCGTCTAATTACAATGAATACATTTATATCTTTAGATGTCCAAAGGGCAGAGAGAGGCTGTTCAGATCTTGAGTCGTCAGCAGTATTGGGTTTTAGTAGCTGCTAGTGTCGTAAATAATGGTTCTAGTCGTAGAACCTGTGAGCTAGCAGGTGGTGGGAAGTCGTAGAACCTATGAGCTAGCAGGTGGTGGGAAGTCGTAGAACCTGTGAGCTAGCAGGTGGAGGCAAGTCGTAGAACCTGTGAGCTAGCAGGTGGAGGCAAGTCGTAGAACCTGTGAGCTAGCAGGTGGTGGGAAGTCGTAGAACCTGTGAGCTAGCAGGAAGAACTGTCGAAGGACCGGTACAGCAGCAGATGGCAAGGAGGGTGTAGAGGCACCGGGGAACGCGTGCCCTCCCTTCGCTGGCTGCCCAGGACAACTAACCATCGTGCCCCGTCACCCCAACCATCCGCTCCGTCCCTACAGGCACCCACACCTCCCGCCGGTGGATAAGGCCGCCATTTACTAATGAGGGGCCAGATTCACAAAGCTGTTACGCAAGCACTTACGAACCCGTCCATCTTTTCTTATTATTTGGTGGCTTTGTTTACAATTATTAAACCGTTAATGAGCTCCGAAGCACCAGGAGGCTGTTTATAACAATAACAACAGTTGATTGGCAAGTTTTCATGCTTGTAAACTGTTTAATAAATGTAACCAAAGCCGTCAAAGATTGAGGAAAGATGTACACGTTCGTAAGTACTTGCGTAACTGCTTCGTGAATCTGGCCCCAGAATTTTAAAAATGTTAAGTCTGTTTGCCGTGTAGAACGATGTTATTTCTTAACATTAAGCTATATAGTCGTAACGGCTTAGTGCTTAGATAATTACCTACCTTGCCGTGTAGAACATGAAACAATAGATATCGATTGAAAAAGTTTACATTCAGTTAACACTTTTGTAAATACTGATTTGGAAAGAGTGTTGTAGATTAACGGAATTAACGGGCAACATAAGGGGCGGCTGGGTTAGGCTAAACATATATATGAATGAATATGGGCAGATGTAAATATGAGCTGCCTCTTCTGGGCCAATACGCCATGTGGTGTTTATTTATATATATATATATATATATATATATATATATATATATATATATATATATATATATATATATATATATATATATATATATATATATATATATATATATATATATATTTGTCATTTATAAAATACCTTGTAAGGACTGTAATTGGTTCTATGTTGGGCAAACATCTAAAGATTTGAAATGTAGAATTTCGCAACATAAATACTCTGTATGACATGGCCAATTGTCTAATGCTTTATTTGTTCATTTGTCAGAAAATGCTCACCAAATTGATTGGGAGATGGCTTCTTCAATAACGAATTGTAAAATCACTGATAACAGGAACATAATTGAATCTGCTTCAATACAGATTACAAAAGAATGTCATTTGAACATTAGCAGTGGTTTATATAACTTGATTCATTTTTGATAGATCAATTAAAGGGCGATTTGAGTTTATTTATTTGATGCACATTTGTCTCACTAATTTATTGTACATATGCTAAATATCTTATGCTATTATCCATGTGTGGACCTATTGATAAGTATAAATAGGAGCTGCCTGGCATGGGCCAATATGCCTTCTGCAGTTCTTATTTTTTCTTTCTTTATTATGCACCCCATACCCATCCCGTGGGCGGTGGTGTAAAGGATTACAGAGGCACATAATCGGTTCAGGAACTGAACCCTATAGTTCGTTTAGCTAAACAAATAAAAAAAATTTGACGCTAGTTACAAAATTATTAATGTTATATACACATGTACACATTCTCATACATACATGTACATATATGCACACATATTTAATCACCCACACAAATACACACATCAATAACCTTTTGTGTCACAAGTGATTCAACAAGAGGCTCACAACAGTCACTATACAAGGCACTTTACATTTATGGTGAGTCACACAGTTACTAGTCTTGCTGCACACCCACCCAACTGGGCGGCAGCTTTACAGTCATGTGCATGCATTACCTACAGTTAGCAAATTTTGGATACTTCGCTAAGATTTCGGGTAGCACATCATTATGAATGAAGTACTTACACATTTCTTGGACACTATTTATGGTGATATCTCTAAATTTCGCAATTTTTTCACATTCCATGATATAATGACACAAAGTATGCGAATAGTTCTGCTGACAGAGTTTACAATTAGTCAAATCTACATCAGCAGATGTTACAAATTCCCAGAGGTACTTGTAGCCGAGCCTAAGCCTAACACCGGTCTAAGCCTAGACCGGCTCCCGACCGACGGGAGCCGGTCGGCCGAGCGGACAGCACGCTGGACTTGTGGTCCTGGGTTCGATCCCAGGCGCCGGCGAGAAACAATGGGCAGAGTTTCTTTCACCCTATGCCCCTGTTACCTAGCAGTAAAATAGGTACCTTGGTGTTAGTCAGCTGTCACTGGCTGCTTTCTGGAGGTGGAGGCCCGGTCGAGGACCGGGCCGCGGGGACACTAAAAAAAAGCCCCGAAATCATCTCAAGAAGATAGCAGTGGTAACATCTAGAAGTCTGCTAACATTATTGGATGACCCATAGACGTGCGGTTCTTCCTGTATAATAGAATGATAATAGATGGAGTAACTGGTGTGAATTTCACTTTGCCTCAAGTCTCCGAAATTTAGTTGATGTAACTGGGATATTACAGCCTTCAGACTGCTCAAAGGTAGTCCAAGTTGGTAATCAATTCCCTCTTTACGAGCAAAAGTCTTGGCCAACTCATCAGTTCTATCATGCATTCGGAGACCAATATGGGAAGGAATCCACAGGAGACAAACTCTGACTCCATCATTGATTATTTCACTATGTCTGTGTCTAGCTTCAGAGATAAGCACGTCACAGTTATGCCTTGGGGAGCTGAGGGCAGTCAAGGATGACAAGGAGTCACTTACAATTAGCGTGTCAACTTTGGATTCATATACGCGCTCGAGTGCAAGGATTATGGCAACCAATTCTGTTTGAAGAGTGGAGGCCCAGTTACTTATACGCGCTACACACTCATGGGAGAAAGAACCATCTCTCCCTGTCACAACAACTGCACTTCCAGCTGCACCATGGGACTGGTGCAAGGAGCCATCAGTGTAAATAATCTGGGAAAGGGAGCGCTCTCTGACTAAAGCATCAATTTGGCTTAAGGCATTGTACTTTGCTTCTTGTCGAAGCAAGGCTTGTTCTTTAATCAGCTTCTTGGGTGGGAAAGGGGGACAGTAATTTGGAAAGGAGTGATCTCCCATGGGGCAAGAAAGTGTTGTTGTTGTCTCTCTTGGAAGGAGTGATAAAAGTTATGCAGTTCTTATGCGGCTCTTATTTGTATCCACGTAATTCCCTTTCATTTTTCATTGTACCTCACCTCACTTCACCTCTCTCTCCTGCCTACAAGTCAAGCATATATGTCCAATGCTTGACTTGTAAATCATTCCTTCTGAAGATGTATTATTATACGAAAGTACTTAAGGAAATTCCTGTTTCAATTCTTCCTCCCTGGTCTGACACTCACATTTTTCATCACCTGTTAATTTTCGTGATTTACACATACACACACATTAGGCAGTGATGTGGTGGAGGCATACTCCATACACAGTTTCAAATGTAGATACGATAGAGCCCAATAGGCTCAGGAATCTGTACACCAGTTGATTGACAGCTGAGAGGCGGGACCAAAGAGCCAAAGCTCAACCCCCGGAATCACAAATAGGTGAGTACACACACACACACACACACACACACACACACACACACACACACACACACACACACACACACACACACACACACACACACACACATATATATATATATATATATATATATATATATATATATATATATATATATATATATATATATATATATATATACACACAAACAAAAAGGAACAATTGGGATCATGAGAGTACACAGCATTGATGTTTTTGCATTCTTGAAAGCCACTAACAGGCATAGCGTTTCGGGCAGGTCCTTAAGTCTAATACATAATTTTAAGTTGGTAATTTATATCAAAATCTAAAATGCTAACACTAAGAAAATTTGAGAAAATTAGTAGATACATTATAGTAAAATATGAGGACTATCAACAGGTACATTGCAGCATAGTCTGAGGAGTATTTATAGGTACACTGTAGTAAAATTTGCGTTCATCATAACAACCAAGATATAAGATTCAATTTCTTTCTTTATTATGCACCCCATACCCATCCCGTGGGCGGTGGTGTAAAGGATTACAGAGGCACATAATCGGTTCAGGAACTGAACCCTCTAGTTCGTTCAGCTAATCAAATAACAATCTTTTGACGCTAGTTACAAAATTATTAATGTTATATATACATGTACACATACTCATACATTCATGATATAAGATGATAGCAGTGATTGCAACGGTGAGGTTGTATGGCTTAGGCACACATTTTGGGGGAGTGGGTAGCACAAGATACAGTGCTGCGAGTTTGAAGCAGCAGGTAGGAAACTCTGAAGATGAAATTAGGTACTTTTTGGTTTTATTTTTGAATAGGGCATAGTTTGGACAGCTTTTTAATACGTTAGGGAGTGATTTACATAGACTAGGTCCTTTTATTTGCATAGAGTGTTAACACAGATTTAGTTTGACTCTGGGGATAGCAAAGATATATTTATTTCTGGTGTGGTGATTATGGGTTCTATTACATCTGTCAAGGAAGAGTTTCAGATCAGGATTTGCATCTAGGAACAAAGTTTTGTACATGTAAATGGCACAGGAGAATGTGTGGAGTGAGTTTATGTTTAGCATAAACCCCCCACACACAACACCTGACAATGATCAAATTTAATAAGATTTTTTTATTTGTTGTTATGTAGGCTGAGAGAGAGAGAGAGAGAGAGAGAGAGAGAGAGAGAGAGAGAGAGAGAGAGAGAGACAGACAGACAGACAGACAGACAGACAGACAGACAGACAGACAGAAGCGAGGAAGGAGCGTGAAACAAAAACAAAAAATTCTTCTTAACAAAAAAGAACCTGAAACAAATATGGAGACTTACCAGGTCTCAGAAATACACAACCTTCCCTTCCACTAACCCCCCCTCCCCCCCCCCCCAAAGCCCCACACTCCGTCTCCTATATCAGGCTCTCGGGGTTAGCGGAGGAGGCGGAAAACCCCAGTTTCCCCTGAGAGACTCCAGTGGTAGCACCATTGTGTGTTTATGTTTGTCGGGTGATGCGACTTTGGGGGCTTGGGTGAGGTACCGGCTCTCAATATTAGTACTTGCGCGTGCTTGCTCATTTACGGGCTCATTATAGCCCGTGCAACATGGAAATCTTGCTCCCAGTAGCTGAATCTAAAGTAACAGCTTTCTCAGACAGTCTTAGCTACGGTTGCGCTCGCCACAA